ATTGGTTGGCTGCTTGTTTGTTATTTTCCTCCCTTATTCCTTCCTGTCTCTATTGTTAAGCACAATTATTGGCATTAAAGAGGTTTTCAGAACCCATTTTTAGACTGCATTCTAGCCTGGGCAATAGAGCAAGATTCCCGTTCTCTCTCCCTCTTTCTCTTCCTCTTTCTTTCTCTCTTTCATTCTTTTTTATTATTTCTTTCTTTCTGTTTCTTTCTTTTTCTTAAAAAGAAACACTGATAAAATTAGGCACAGAAAGGAACTTCCTTACCATGAGAATTGGCATTTATGAAAATCTCACAACTAATGTCATATTCAACAGTAAAAGACTGAAAACTTTCACCGAGAAGATCAGAAACAAGACAAGCATGCCCGTTGTCAGCACTGTTATTCAAGTTAAGCCAGGGCAATTAGACCAGAAAAAGAAATACATGATAACCATATAGGAGAAAAGAAGATAAAATATTTCTATTTATGGATGAAATGATCCTATAGATAGAAATTTCAAAAGAATCCACAAAAAAGCTACTAGAGTGAATAAATAAGTTCAGCAAAGTTGCAGGTGACAAAATCAACACACACATATCAGTTATATTTCTATATACCAGCAGTGAACAATCTGAAAAAGAAAGGAAACAATTCCATTTACAATAGCATATAAAAGAGTGAAATACTTAGGAATAAACTGAACCAAGGAGGTGAAAAACTTACATCCCTAAAACTAAAAAAAATTGCTAAAAGAAGTTAAAGACCAAAATAAATGGAAGGGCATTATGTGTTTATAGATTGGAAACTAAATATTGTAAAGATGGCAAAATCCTCAAAGCAATTTATAGATTCAGTGAAAAATATCAATGTGAAAATTCCAAAGACTTTTTTGTTTAAGTGGAAAAGCTGACTCTAAAATTGACATGAAATGGAAAATGACTCAGAATAACAAAAACAGTCTTGAAGCAGAAGAACAAAGTTGGAGCACACAGACTTAATGATTTCAAAACATGCTACAAAACTACTATAATCAAAATTCTGCAGTACTTGATGAAATACAGAGGTCCAGTTTCATTTTTCTGTTTCCTAGCACAGCTCAAAATAAATTATAAATCTAAATGTAACTATGAAACTACTAGAAAAAAAATAGGAGAAATACTTCAGGACATTGGTCTGGGCAAAGATTTTATGGATAAGACCTCAAAAGCACAGCAAAATAGCAAAAATAGACAAATGGGATTATATCAACTAAAAAGCTTCCACACAGTAAAAGAAACAATCAGAGAATGAAAAGACAATCTACAGAATGGGAGAAAATATTTGCAAACTGTTCATTCGACAAGGGATTAATATCTAGAATGTATAGTCATGTATTGTTTAACCATGGGGATACATTCTGAGAAATGTATCCCTAGGCATTTCCATCATTGTGAGACTATCATAGATTCAGATTTTCTTAAGCTCTTCTAAAAGTAAAAGAGCAAAAAAGCTCTTCTACTTAGAAGAAGAAAAGTACCACAAACAAATGCCTAGATGGTATAGCCTACTACATACATAAGCTATGTAGTATAGCCTATTGCTCCTAGGCTGCAAACCTGTATAGAATGTTATTGTATTGAATAATACAGGCAATTATAAGACAATGGTAAGTATTCATGTATCTAATCATATAAAAGGTACAGAAAAAATTTGGTATTATATTCTTATGGGACACCTGTCATACATGCAGTCCATTATGTACTGAAATGCTGTGTCGTACATGACTATACAAGAAACTCAAACAACTAAACAACAAAAAGACAAATACTTCAATTTAAAAATTGGCAAATAATCAGAATAGGCATTTCTCAAAAGAAGACATACAAATGGCCAAAAAGTATATGACAAAACACTCAACCTCACTAATCATCAGGGAAATGGAAATCAAAACCTCAAAGAGATATCATCTCACCCCAGTTAGAATGGCTATTGTTAAAAAGACAAAAAAGAAAAATGCTGGTAAGGATGCAAAGAAAATGGAACTCTTACACATTTTTGGTGAGAATGTAAATTAGTACAGCCACTATGGAAAACAGCATGGAGATTTCTCAATAAACTAAAAATAGAACTACCATATGATCCAGCAATCTTACTGCTGGGTATATATCAAAAAGAAAGGATATCAATGTATCAAAGATATATGTGCACTCTCATGTTTATTGCAGCACTATTCACAATAGTCAAGATATGAAATCAGTATAAGTACCCATCAACAGATGCAGGGATTAAAAAATGTGTTCAGCCATAAAAATGAAAGAAATCTTGTCATTGACAGAAGCATGGATGAACCTGGAAGACACTATGTGAAATAAGCCAGGCACAGAAAGATAAATACCACATTATCATTTATATGTGGAAGCTAAAAAGGCTTATCTCACAGAAGTAGACAGTAGAATAGTGGTTACTATTAGGCTGGTGCAAAAGTAATTATGTTTTTTTTCATTTGAAGTTAAGAGAAGATAGGGAAGGGAGTGGAGAGGGAAAGGTTGATTAACAGACACAAAATTACAGCAAGATAGAAGGAATAAGTTCTAATATTCTATTGCACTGTAATGTGACTATAGTTAAGAATAATGTATTGCATATTTTCAAACAGCTAGAAAAGATTTTGAATGCTCCCAAAACAAAGAAATGATAAATGTTTGAGGTGATAGACACACTACTTACTCTGATGTTTAAAACTATACAACTTTTAGAAGAAAACATAGGGGTAAGTCTCCTGTGACCTTGAATTTGGCAATGAATTCTTAGATATGACACCAAAAGCACCAGCAACAAAAGAAAAAAATAGATGAATTAAGCTTCTTTGAAATTAAAATGTTTTGCACATCAAAGGACATCGTTAAAAGTGAAAAAACCTACAGAACAGGAGAAAGTATTTGCTAATCATATAGCTAATAAGGGGCATGTATGTATGTATTTTAAAACTCCTACAATGCCAAAAAACACAATTAAAAATGGGCAAAGAACTTAAATATACATTACTCAAAAAATATATGCAAATGGCCAAAAAGCATATGAAAAGATGCTCAACATCATAAGACTTTCAGGAAATGCAAAAACCACAATGATATACCACTTTATACCTACTAAGATGGCTATTTATAAAATAATGGAAAATACTAAGGATGTGGATGAATTGGAAACCTTGCATTTTGCTGATGGGAATGTAAAATGGTACAGGCACTGTGGAAAACAGCTTGGCAATTCCTCAAAAAGCTAAACATATTATACAACCCAGTAATTCCACAACTAGGTTTATACCCAAAAGAATTTAAATCAGGGACTCAAACAGATACTTGTACTCCAATGCTCACTGCAGCAATATTCATAAGCGCCAAAAGATGGAAACAAGTGAAGTGTCCATCAACAGATGACACCTCATGAACAATGTAGATGACTTTGCATCCCACTATTCCCATCCAAGGAGAGACCATCAACTTTGTGCTTTCATACAAACACAAACACACCCCACACTCACCCTTCTCTTTAGCTGATGTTGGAAAATTCCATAGCCATCAACTGATTAAGTGTGTGCTCCACATGGCATTTGAGACACAGAATTATTTCCAAAGGGTCTGGTCCAATTGTATTTTGATGATCTCCAACACTGAGAGTAGTACCCACAGCTGGTATTACAGGCTACAGGAATTCTGTGGATTAAAAAATGTTATAAAGAACTTCAAAAATCATCTAAATTGAAGTTTCACATTGCAAAAAAACTAGCTTCCTTGTTTCTTTTAATGCACAAGTGTAGCTAATTGTGTTTCATTTAAACTTTTAGATGTACCACAATAGATTCACACCTGATCCTAGTAGAAATTAAACTAGATATAGCTATTAAAAGTAGGGATCCATTACACCATATTGAGATTTTCTGGTTTAGAACTTCCCTAAAAGTTAGGAGCGGAAGGTCAACAGAAAGACCACCATTTGTATACTTATCCTAATATTTATATTTCCCAATTCTGGGCAGTATATTAACAGTAAAAGAGGCATGGGGTAGAAGAGGCAGAGGTGACCCCAAAATCCTAAACTACACTCTGTCATTCGATTCCCCAAACCCCTGCAGAGAAGCTAGCCTTTGTTAAGAATAAACGGGACAAGCTTAGTATAGACAACATAGCTTCAATTATATAAACTATGCAAATAGACAGAATACTGGGTTTTATGGGAATTAATTTCTTCCTAACTACCTACTTCTAAAGGAATTTGGTATCCTGTGGCTATGTCATACATAGACCTGAGCTCTGACCAAAAAGAATCAGCACAAACTAGGGGGCTGCTACCAACTGTGGTACAAATCACCAAGTCCAAAGCACTGGCCCAAAAACAAAGGCAAGGAGTCAACAGTTACCAGGATGAGATAGACGAGATTATCTATGAAGCCATTTCCATGGGTAATCCCCAGAAACACTCTCTTCTGCGACCCAGGACTTCATGGGGAGAGAATCTCAGATGTAGCAGTAAATCTAATACCCCTGGATAGGGAGGGAGCTGTTGAGGGCACAGTGGGGCTGGGTCCCTTCAGAACCACAGTTCATGTGCAGCTGTCCATGGCTTACTGAACAGGGGTGAGAATCAGGAATCCTCTTGGGGTTAAACAGCTTCAAGGCATCCTGATGAGACATTTTATGTGATAAGCTGAGAACAAGTTCTGAAACTGAGACTACAATGAAAGCATCTGTGTTCCCTTCCTCCATCCTCCCTTTCCCAGGGCTGCCCAGATAGGGCTTCATTCCTCATTTGAAGCCCTATCAGTAGAAGCCTACAAGACAGCTAATAGCACAGTCCTGTCTTCTTGCATAGAGTGATTCTACTCCTTGAACATGTTGAAACTAAATAATCTGTCAATGCGAACTTGATTTGTTTGTGCCCTCCTACAGACACACAGGCAGTGTTCTTCACCATCTTTATGCTGTCTGTGCTTTATCCCCCCCAGACTAGATTTCAACTGAAGAACTAGGACAATATTTTCACCAGTTTTAGCATGCAACTTTATTAACAACATGGAAATAAAATCTCAAAAGAATACACTTATATCAATATAAAGCACAGAAGTATAGCTTAGGATGAATAGATTAATTATCAAGTCATGTTGCAGAAATACTAAAAATAATCTCAATTTATATTATATAGCACAATAAAAATCAGCACGTTTCAGGATCTCGAGATTAATTGGTATTCTCCCTCAATCAACATGGGAGACATAAGTATTGAATTTATAATTATAATATGTATTGTTTTCATATTGCAACTCCAAAAAACTGTTTGAGGCTTTATAAAAACAGAAGGGTGTTCAGAGTTTGAGTATTAATCTTATGACTTTATCTCTCACTTCAGGATCACTGTGCTCTGCTAAGTCTTGGAGTTTCTGACCAAACTGTTTTGCTTCCTGGAATATTGAAATAAGCTCAGATTTAGTGAACTTTTCTTTGGTAAATAGCTTTGCCTTTGTTTTGAACTGAAAATTTATATTCTCAAATATTTCAATAATATTAAGAATATTGGCCTTTGACTCATTCTTGTTAAAGGGTGCAACCAATGATGACAGGACTTTGGCACTGACCAATTCTCTTGTATTGGCTTGATTTTTAGACAAACACAAAAACACTTTTAAAACATAAAACTTGGTTTTGACACTTCCCTTGTTTAACAAGGTGAGGAAATCTGGAATATAACTGGTAATCACATAGTGATTTTCAAATTTTACGCTCAAGTGCCCTAGTAATTTCAGTCCAGCCAGTTGCACAGGGGAGTTCAAGGGGCAAGAGACTATGTCTTTACAAACTTGGTGTATATATGACTCTTCTGCTTTTGGTTCTTCCGAAGACTCAGAGCTGTCATCCGCCATACTTAAAGCTCTAGGGTGTTCTTTAACATTGGGATTATTGACCAAGTTTTCAATCATAACAGTAATACCTACATCATGAATTATATCTTGCGTAAATGGATAAGCAGGACTGATGCCCATTATCATGGTAGCTATTTGATGAATGAAAGGATCCTTAGTTAACTTAAGGAGGGCAACAAGTTTATCAAACTCTTTAGGCTCCAAACTAAATGCATGTGATTTGCAGCGGCAGGCCTTTGGATTGGGCCCATACTTTTCCCTTTGCTTAATCTGTTTTTTGATCTCAGCTAAGGTCTGGAAATAAGGCCCATGATAAGGTGGGATCTTGGTCAGAGGTCGAATCCCCAGAGGAGTTTCAATCAAGGTCTCAACCAGGGTCCAGTTTCCTTCTGGAGGCAAGGATTGCTCTCCTCCCTCAATTGGGACTAGGACAATATACCTGGCCCTTGACCATGCTATTGCCTTTTGTTTTATAGCAAGCATGGGTTTAGGTGTGGGTTTGGGCTTTTCCTGGATCTTAGGTAGGGGATTATAAACTTGAGGAGAGGTCTCTTCTTCAGGCCAGAACCAGGACCCTACACTAGGTTCTTCTCCAGTCCAGAACCAAGAGCAGATATTTTCTTCATCCTCATCACTGGATTTCATCCCAATGCCAGCTTTGTCCCCAGCCTTGGCCTTGATGCTGGACTCTTCCCTTCTGTCAGGTCTGGACCCAGTATTGGCCTTATCATGTGACTTGGTATAGGACCTGATATTTGCCTCACTGACAGCAACAACCTTGACTTCAGACTTGGTTACAGCAGTGACCCTAGACATAGGCATGGCCTTTGACTTGGCTTGTGGCACTATACTGTGTTCTGCCAGGGGTTTTGCCTTAGTCTCAACCACGACTCTAGTCTTAGTTGTATCTTCCATCCTGCTCTCTTCCCTTGTCACAGCCATAGCCACAGTGTAGGTCACTGTATGTGTCCTGGCCATTGCTCCATCACCAGCTTTGGCCTGGGTCACTGATTCTGTTTTCAGTTTTGCCTCAGCCACTGCCTTGACCTGTGTTTCACCACTCACTCTAGCAGCAGCAGGACCACTGATTCCATCTTTCAGGCCAGCCTCAGCCTTTTCTCTAGCCCTTGCTTCTGTCCCAGAGCCAGCCATGTTCCAAGTTTAAGGCAAGGACAAGTTATATACCCCCAACCCTGTCTCAGCCTTGACTGAAGGTCTGTCCCGGTTGGTGTTTTCATACAAAGTCCAGTAGTCACTCTGTCCCCTTTCCAACTATAGGCTCTGCCAGTGATATAGAAAACATGCAGAGGAAGCTCACTCAAGGTAGGGAAGGATGGCTGTGCATGGGCGCAGCCCTGTGGAGGGTGGTGGTCTTCAGCCACTCCAAGGCCACCAGATCTGCCACTGAAGTAGGACCTAGGGGTGGAGGAAGGAAATGGGGCTTTGAGTCTCTTCCAATTTTTTTCTCCTCATGCTGATCAGCACAAGGAGACAGGAGAGTATGGAGATTCAGTGCTAGGTGAGAGAGGTAGATAATTAGCAAACTCTCTCTCCCTTCATTTCACCCACTCCCTATGCTTCCAAGCACTATCAACCTTCTTTCCAGGCACCAAACAGGAGCACAAAGGAAAAGTGGATGAGAACCTAACGAATCCCTATAGTGGTTCTTGACCCCTGCTGGAGCCAAGCAGCTCTCCACTACTACATCCTACAGGTCTACCCAGGCAATCCCCACACTCATACCAACCTGCACTGATCTGGAGTAACTTTCTCCTCCTTACCTTGCTTCCAATGGTGACAAGCCCTACAGCAGATCTACAGGCAGACCTATGAACAAATAAACAAACAGGAGAATATGGAAACTGATCTCCTGGTGACAGACCTTGGTCCCTGGCCCCCGTTCTTGCCTTTCCAGATATATTTTGTCTATTGTTTCCCTCCTAGTCCCCTTTTCCTGCACTGTTTTGCTTCAGGGCTACTCTTCCTTCTCCTCCCTATTGCCCACCATCTTCCTCTTTCTTCAGTGATTGCCCTGAATGTCCTTCATTCAGATTAGACTAGGGTTAAGCATGAGAGCAGGACAATCAAGTGGGAAGTGGAAAAGGCAGGTCTTAGTATTCTGTACCCCCAAAGCTTACCAAGACTCCCAACTAAATCAGCAGCAGCAGAGGGTGGGGCAGATGAAAACAACTGGTAAAATGACAAAACAGAAGAGATGTCTCTAGCTGAAGTTGCCACCCCCCTGTCCCTGTAGCTTTACACCAAACTTAACAGATACAGTGCAATTTTCTCTTCTTCGTAATTTCCTAGCTTTAAGTTGGGTGGCCATTTTACAAAACTTCACAACTGACAGTTCCACAGACCTGGAGACAGATCTACTTACAAGGATTCACAAAAACGGAGACCAATAAATGAAGACACAGGAGACAGTTGAGGCTGAGTCTTTGGTAGAGACTGGCACCTAGGGCACAGATTCTTTCTGAATGCAGGTACCTGATTCGCAAACATTTTCTATCTCCCTTTTTTTCTCCCACTCCTAAATCTCCAAGCCCACTGCTCTGTTCTCAAAGTCTGACAATTCCTATACAGAGACAACTCAAACATCCCTACAAGGTAGTAGTAGTGGTGGTGTTTGTAGGGATGAAATGACTAGACAAACCAAGGAGGCTGGGGAAAAAATGAAAAGTATTATTTCCATATTTCATCTGGGTTCCTATGTTTCCTTTCTCTCTCCCAAAGCCTATCATTTTCTGCAACGTAATGGGGTTAAATAAGGACATGTTAGGAAAGCTGGCAGAGAGTTCTGGGGGCTCCCTTAGACTCCTTCCTACTCTAGTCTTAGCCATCTATCACCTCCAAGTGCTGCCTCCAAGTACTGCCCACTCTGTAAAAACCAGGCCAATTTTCTTTCCGCTCTCCCCACCCCTTGAGGTCTGCTGCCCCCTACAGATCTTTGCAGAAACGTGGAGTGCTGCAAACGTAGGAACAGATCTACACATAAAAACGCGTGATACACACCCAAAGAGCAAATGAAAAGACAGAGAGAGAGACGTGGTTATTAGTGATCAGACCAGTAACCAAGACATGAGACCATTTTCGAATCCAGGGCCTTGATTATCAAACATTTACAACCTCTTTTTGTATTCTCTCCCTCTCAGGGCTTCCCAGACAACTGTTATCGCCTATAGAAGTAGCCCCCTCTTCCTCTTATCTAGTCTGCCTTTTCCCGACTAGAGAAGCTGCAACCTTTTTCTTCCCAAACATGGTCGTGAACCGCGTGTATGGAAATTAAGCTAGCAAAAGGCAGATCATTTTTTATTGTTGTGTGCCATTCACATCACTCGTCTCTCTCTCCTTGTCACCTCCCGCCTCCCACGACCAGTTCGCGTTTCCAGTGTTCACCTCCGATATCCACATCCACACCACCAAGCGATGCCCACCTTCTCACTGACCTTTTTTGCTTGGATCAGAGGCCGTTTACTTATTTCCTCGCCTCTAGGTGCTGTGTCACACAGTAGCAGGGACTGACAGTCAGACACAAGGACTCGAGACAATGGCGGCGGCTGTATTTGGAGGTTGATCCGGCACCTGGGACTCAAGACGAGATACCCGCTTTATCAGATTAAAGACTGTGGTTGGCAAATTGTTGTCACTTTTCGGTATTCCTTTCTCCTTCCTGTTCCCAGGGCTCCTCGGGACCTCGCGGGTAGTTACCTTTTAACATCTACCTTCTCCTTCGCAGGCAAGGTTCTTCCACATCCGGGTTACCCACGTCGGCAGTGGGGGGAGCTAGAGCGTAGTTTACCGGGATCCGGCTTGTGGAAGCGGAGTGACGTTAGGGTTTGCCTAGCGCCGCCACACTTTCTGTCGGAGAGCTCCGTTTCCTGTACTCTGTGGCCGCTTCAAGTATTGGAATTCGCAGGGGCAAGCTCCAGATATAGGGAAAACCGCGGTGGAATGAGAGAGGCAGACAAATACCAGAGTGTTTCGGTATTAGTTCCCCTTTTGCAGGAGCTCCCCCCACCAAGCCTACCATTCTTTTCTGAACTGAAATGTACATGGGTTTCCGGCTGTGCAGTCAGGAAATCTCTTCTGGTCGGACAGGCGGAAGTGTTCCAGTCTTCAGAAGTTCATCTCTCCAGACACAGGGGTCACACTGAATGGGCGGTCTGGGGGTGGAGCCCCAGGTAGGAAAGTCTGCAAACAGAGTCAAGACTAAGATAGGAGGATACATACTAATCGATTCCACAAACTTTGTGTCCCTTCGAGTCCCCCCCTCCCAGGCCTTAGTTTTCTTTTTCTTTTCTTTCTTTCTTTTTTTTTTCTTCAAGTTCTGTGATACATGTGCAGGATGTGAATGTTTGTTAAATAGGCAAACGTGTGCCATGGTGGTTTGCTGCATCAATCAACCTATGACCTAGGTATTAAGCCTAGCATGTGCTATTTTTCCTAATGCTCTCCCTCCCCTCACCTCACTCGCTGACAGGGCCCAGTGTGTGTTGTTCCCCTCCCTGTGTCCATGTGTTCTCACTGTTCAGCTTCAACCTTCATCTATGTCCCTGCAAAGAACATGATCTCACTGCTTATTATGGTATTTCATGGTGTATATGTACCACATTTTCTTTATCCATTCTATCATTGATGGGCATTTGGGTTTATTCCACATTTTCGCTATTGTGAATAATGTGGCAATGAATATACATGTGCATGTATCTTTGTAATAGAATGATTTATATTCCTTTGGATATATACCCAGTAATGGGATTGCTGGGTCAAATGGTATCTCTGGTTCTAGATCTTTGAGGAATTGACACACTGTCTTCCACAATGGTTGAACTAATTTAAATTCGCACCAACAGTGTAGAAGCATTCCTACTTCTCCACAACCTTGCCAGCATCTCGTTTCTTAACTTTTTAATAATTGCGATTCTGACTAGTGTGAGATGGTATCTCATTGTGACTTTGATTTGCATTTCTCTAATGATCAGTGATGTTGAGCTTTTTTCCAAGTGTTTGTTGACCACATAAATGTCTTCTTTTGGGCCGGGCGCGGTGGCTCAAGCCTGTAATCCCAGCACTTTTGGAGGCCGAGGCGAGTGGATCACGAGGTTAAGAGATCGAGACCGTCTTGGTCAACATGGTGAAACCCTGTCTCTACTAAAAATACAAAAAATTAGCTGGGCATGGTGGTGCATGCCTGTAATCCCAGCTACTCGGGAGGCTGAGGCAGGAGAATTGCCTGAACCCAGGAGGCGGAGGTTGCGGAGAGCCAAGATCACGCCATTGCACTCCAACCTGGGTAACAAGAGCGAAACTCCGTCTCAAAAAAAAAAAAAGTCTTCTTTTGAGAAGTCTCTGTTCATGTCCTTTGTTCACTTTTTAATGGGGTTGTTTGTTTTTTTCTTGTAAATTTAAGTTCCTTGTAGAGTCTGGATATTAGATCTTTGCCAGATAGATGGACTGCAAAAACTTTCTCCCACTCTGTAGGTTGCCTCTTTACTCTAATGATAGTTTCTTTTGCTGCGAAGAAGCTCTTTAGTTTAATTAGATCCAATTTGTTAATTTTTTCTTTTGTTGCAATTGCTTTTGGCAATTTCATCATGAAATATTTGTCTGTGCCTACGTCCTAAATGGTATTGCCTAAATTTTCTTCCGGGGTTTTTATAGTTCTGGGTTTTACATTTAAGTATTTAATCCATCATGAGTTAAATTTTGTATTAGGTGTAAGGAAGGGGTCGCGTTTCAATTTTCTTCATGTGGCTAGCCAGTTTTCCCAGCACCAACAGGGCATCTTTCCCTATTGCTTGTTTCTGTCAGGGTTTTCAAAGATCAGATGGTTGTATATGTGTAGTCTTATTTCTGAGTTCTCTATTCTGTTCGACTGGTCTATGTGTCTGTTTTTGTACCAGAACCATGCTGTTTTGGGTACTGTAGCCTTGTAGTATAGTTTGAAGTCAGGTAGTGTGTTGCCTCCAGCTTTGTTCTTTTTACTTAGAATTGTCTTGGCTATATGACCTCTTTTTTGATTTTGTGTGAATTTTTAAATAGTTTCTTCTAATTCTATGAAGAATGTCAATGGTAGTTTGATGAGAATAGCACTGAATCTATAAATTAGACAGTGTGACCATTTTCACGATATTGATTCTTCCTACCCATGAGCATGGAATGTTTTTCTATCTGCTTGTTTCCTCTGTTATTTCCTTGAGCAATGGTTTGTAGTTCTTCTTGAAGAGGTCCTTCACTTCCCTTGTTAGCTGTATTCCTAGGTATTTTGTTATCTTTATGCCAATTGTGAATGGGAGTTCATTCATG